AATAGGTTGATCTCAAATACAAAACAGGTTGAGCATCTGTTCAAATGCATCTGGGATGAGCAAGTGATTTGTTCTGTTGGCATAGGTGGGCCAGCAACACCTGCCATATTTGCAGGTAGAAAAAAGACCAAACAACCCTAAACTCATACAGCAAAATAAACCCCATTCAGTTGCATATTTCTGTAGCTAATATTATGGCTTAGTGAGTTGACTTGTTTATTTGTTTGCAGTCATTTCAGAATACTGCCAGAACAAAAATCTAGATTTTTAGGTAAATATTTTGGGTCATCAGGGCCAAATTTAGGGCTACACAAAGGATATTTTATGTTGCTCTGTTAATGTAAATCAGGTTTGCAACTGATCTAAGTTAAGGAAGATTTTTCCCTATGTTGGAAGACTTCAGCAACATAGGATTTTTTATTGCTGATCCTGTGTTGTGCAGCTAGAACAGCGAGCATGCAAGTTGGAATGGAAAATAACCTTCAAGTACAAAGCCACTCTGGGAGGGCAGTTGATTGCAAGTGCCACTCATCTGTTTTTTTTTCTGTGGAACATGCGTGATTGTGCTGAGCACAGTTTGGCTCAGTATTAGGACAAGGACCAAATACTTGCTTTCTTGACTGGGTTATGATACTGATCTTGCTCTGTGCAAAGACTTCGTCAATACATGGTGGGTAAAGAAGAATACCTATAAGCCTGCTGACTTTAGCTGACCCTGATGGTGCTGACACTTTAGCCCAGTAAAACTGTCTTTTGTCTTTTCTTCTTTTCCCCCCTCCCCTCCCCGCTCCCCCCCCACCCTTTGGTTTATTTTCTGAGTTCATGGCAATACAATCTTTGCAATCCCTTGCTTAGCGGAGTTGATTTAACAATGTGTTTTGGTAAGGCCTGTATACAAAGAGAAAGCGCGCTCACATTGTGGGTGACTCATGTCCTAATGTCTTAGTGAATGACTTGAATTGTTTGAGTGATGAGGTGTTGGAACCAGTTACATTGAAAAACAGTTTTACTTTCATCATTTAGACTGTTCACACCATAATGGAATTTCAGAAGAGTTAAAGCTCGCTGAGACTTCATGGTGTGCTTCTTGTAATGCCCAGTGTTAACATTTGCAGTATTCAAGAGTTTATTGTAACTGGTTCAGAGTTACTGTCCACCAACATGTGTGCAGGCTGCAAGATACCAAGTTGTGCATTCTGTGAACTCTGAAACTGAATAACATGCCTTGCTGTATCTTTTTAACTGTTAGGCCAACAAAGAGTGGATATAGCAAATCTGCACTAATAATTTCAGAAGCTTGCAGTTCTTGCAGAGGATGGTGGTCAATCCTGTCATTATATGAAAATTTCAGATTAATGCCTGTCTGGAAAAGTTAGTGAAATTGAGTTTAGTTCCACAGAAAACAGATTTGGTTCTTTTGAGGTTTTTTTTCCATTTTTATTTAACGTCAATCTTTTTTATTGAATTTCTCTTCAATGTAGAATACAGTTTTCAGTAGTAGCGTATTTAACAGCTTGCAGTATGTTTTTTAAACTAAGTGAACACATAAATATTGTGCTTTCTCTACTACACTAGATTATACATAAAAAGCTTGACCTACTGAATTATATGTGTAAATGTATATATTGTGTTAAGACTCAGCTTTTTATCAAGTGGCGATCTCATAAAGCTGTATTCTCGGATTACAACTTGAGTACAATTCATGGTTGAAACTTTAAATCCATAAATCCAGGGTTTCGAATTTGTGCCTGGTTCTCACAATCCCAAATTGGTAAATTCTGCTTATACAGATCATACAGATGTAAATATTAAGGGGAACATTGGGTGATTTGGTAGTGGAGCATCTTTCCTGACATGCATATGCTTTTAATATTTTATGTAATGTTTTACTTCCTAAGAACAGTTTAATTTAAATTCTTTTAACTTAATCCAATTCTGCCTCAGCGTTTTTCTGTAGTCTGGGGATTACTGAATGGTACAACCAGAAGAGGTTGAAACTATATAATGGAGTCCAGTTTGTTCTTCTTTTCCGGGGTTATGATTTAGCTTTCTGTTGGCACCGAAGGCACTTGAGTACATGAATTGTTTAGCATTAGGTTTTCCATTATCTGGTGTCTCAGTGTATTGAAACACATCTATTTGACTCTTTATGGAGTCTGCCTTGCAATATACTCTGATTATTCATGTTTCTTAAGCTATTTTTTTTCTCATTTCGGAAACTTGATTAAAATTGTTTTAGAGTAATGGTAGATGGCTATTTGGTAGAATAAAAACCTTTAGAGGAAGGTATATTGACTTTCCTGACTGTTGGCTTGGTTAGATGTAACTCAAAAGTATCAGTTATCTAACCATGGTACTTAGCAAATGTTTTCTGCAGACATAGTAAAATAAGACTACCTATTTAAATAATACTGTGAAGTGTCTTGTGTGCAGATACTTTTCTGCAGAGTAACAGGTTCATTTTGATATTTAAATTTTTTTATCCTTTTTAAACTTTATCCATGTCAAGTAGGGCCTGCCTTCCTCCTATGATTTCCTGTGGGTTTATTTTGCCCACGGGTCATGGATGTCACAGAATTTTTAAAGATCGTCCTGCATACTGTTCAAAATTGCCAATAGCAGAGAAAACCCTAATGAATGAACAGCTGTGGTAGAGGTGTCGTGGTAAGATATTCTATATGGTTATTTTAGAGCCCAGTCAACATCCCAATCTAGTGACTATAAACCTTGGCTATGTAAGGAGGGTCACTGTCTGGGAGTAGGGTTAAGTCAAAATCTCAAGAATTGGGAATACATGGTGACATGGAGAAAAATGCTTTTGTTTAGACTGCTTGTTGTTGATGGGGTTAATTGTTCCCTACCATTGACAGACTAAAAATAACTGTTAGCCATTATGTCTGTAGTCCACTCATGACTATATTCCGTATCACCTTGAATTTAAAACTTGCTAAAGTCAAACTATTTTAAAGGTGCTTACCTAGAAGGTCATTTGAGAAGGAATTCTTCTGTCGGCAGTAACTCACGTCGCAGTGTTTCCTCAGGAAAAAATGGATGTTGCCCAAGCTCCTTCTAGTTAAGTTGAAGGATAAAGCATCTTACGCTATCTCATGAAAAAGAAAGCATAGCATAGATTCTCAAGATGGAGCTCTACTGCAAGAATCCTATTTTACACCCTTTTATGCCCTTTTCCAATCTCAATGGCTTGCTAGAGAACAGACTAGTTCTGTTGCAGGTACAACACTTCCCACTGGTAGACTGCAAAGTGCTTTTATGAAGAAGGGAAGTATTGCTAACCATTTCTCCTAAGTCAAAGCATAGAGGAGTGGAGTGGCTTGCTGAAGGATGCCTGGAAGGGATAGAACTGGCTAGAACATGAGCCCTGAGCCCTTTCCACTAGGTTGCACTGCTGCAGTTTTCCTTTATGGGCTACTAGCCTTGTAAGCTCATCAAGAATCTGAATTTGTTTCTTGAGTTTTTTGTGAGTTTGGTTTGGTTTGCAGAGATTTGAGGAAATAATTTGATTGTGAAACTAGCATGGGTCATTGGCAAGGGCATAGGAAGGTAGTAGCTCCATTGAGTCGTGAAAGACAGAGTACGCTTACATAGAAGCCTGATTTTGGGTGCACTTTTTAGCTACGCTTTACATGCTGCAAACCATGAGCTGTGGGCTAAAAGTGCTTTCTTGCTTGAAAACACAAATTCTTGTCCCCCTTCCTGTATGGTGGTCAAGAATTGTGCAATGAAACCCTTATTTTCACTGACTCACTTTAATTCACAGTCATAAGATTACCAGGTATGATTCATCAGGAAAGGAGACCACAGCTGTCAGCAGTTTTATTGCCTTGAGTGTGTTTGGTTCCTTACTTCTTGGGTCAAGAAGACCTGTAGCCTTTAATTCTATTGTATAAAAGAAAGCTGGAGCTCATCAAAGTTAGCCTCTGTTGAAATGCTGGGCGTGGGTGTAAGAAAGACTAGAGTCCAGCTAATACGCTTAACTGTGTATGCTACTAGGAATGGCAGTTGAAAGTTTAAATGATCACGGGTGTGTTTTGAAACAGCGGTGCTGAACAAGGTAGTATGATTTGAAAATCCTTCTTCGTAGTAGAACTCTCTGAGGGACTGCTGGGAATGTAAACTGCAGTTCAGCCCTCTAGATACAAACCTTTGCTTCTATGTCATTCACTACTGTGTTCAAAACACAGTTTGGTGTGGGAAGAGTCAGCAACTTTGCTTTTTTATTGTCATCTAGATAAAGTTGTAGCTTAGTATTTTCAAAGCAGTTGCAGTTTTTACAGGCCTGTTTTCTGTTTCTTTTCAGTGGGTTGGATGTTAATTCGCTGAGGCCTCTTTCAGACTGTTACTGTAATTTAATTTTTAAATATGTCTTATTAAGACAATGTTGAGAGGATTTGGGAAAATATTTTTCATTTATTTGTTCTCCTCTTTTTATTCCTTTTTCACAGCACTTTGTCATGTGAATGGATAGTAATGTTATTACAGTTGCTGTTCTTGATGTCATAGAGTGTGTCAGCAAAAGCTTTTGAATGATTATATGGTGGTAACATATCAAAGGACAGTTTACATGTTAAGATTTTTACTTTGCCTGGAGTAACTTTTTACCAGGCCCTTCCTAGGCCAACTTGTCAGATGGTCAGATGTTAATAGGTTAATGTTTAAAGTATGGATCTGCTCTGCAAAGTGACAGTGCAAAACAGTCTCTGTTTTAGTCAGCTGTTCTCCTTCATGTGTGTTCAGACATTTGCTTTGTTCAGTGACAAAGTGTAACTAGCTCAGGTACGAGTATGCATTTGTTCAGCACTGGGCATCAACACTGTAGTGTCCACCTATACCTTGCAAAACCCTTCAGAGGCAATCAAGTAGAGCAGGTGTAATAGAAGTCCTAACTTGCTTTGTGGAGCCTTTTTTTGTGTTAACGTGGAACAAAAAAGCTGAGTTTTGTTAGCAGAGTATTGGGCTGAGTTTTTTAAAGTTGTGTGAAGATGAGGATATTTGGCGTGGAAATTGAGAGCGTAAGCAAGAAGTACTCGTGTGCTGCTAAAAAAATGTGAATGTTCTCAATGTGAAAAATTACACTGTTCCCGTCCTTTAAAAACAAATAAAAATTGATAGAAACAAGTTAACTTGAGGAAAGATGGTAATGTGGGCAAGGAGCTTCAAGAAGAGTAGCTCTAGATTTGCTCTAATTCATGTCAAATCTACAAGTTGCCATGCTTTGAGGAGGCTGTGACCTTGAATTAATTCACTCTAGTTAAGAATACTTTCTCCTTTTCTCCCTAGGCAAACCAGGCCTCTGTCTGGATGTTAGTCTTGTGTTTCAGTCTGAGTCCCATTGTGCTTCTCTCCACTGATTTGTCCAATAATCATGTCTAAAATTGACATAATTTTACGTTATATTTATTGTATTCAGTTACTAGAGGAGTACAATGAACTGGTTTCCGTGAACATGCTAGGTGTTAGGTATGGTGAAACGTTCTTTGTTTTTACAACTTCAAGTCCTTTTCTATGCTTAGATATAACTGAACACCTTTGTGATATCACAATGCCTAGTATTATTACAATGAAGTAAAACTTGTATTTTAAAACAGTAAAGCAAATCGGCTGAAACCATTGCTTGGAGTGTTACATGTTAATAAGAAGGAAGAGTTAGTAGGAGAATTGGACAGAAATGCTCATCACTTCCAGCCAGTGACACTTTGAACTCCATCTGCTTTTGGTTTTCCCAGATGACAAAGTATTTCAACTGTAATTTACTGAGAATCTTATTTAGTTCAGTTGTACAAACTGAAGACTTAAACAATACCAAAGTTTATTTTCTTACAATTGCCTAAATATGTATTCATTCCCATCATCATAATCTCATTTCCTTTATTCCCTTTGCTGTTGTTTGCGTATGTTTATTTGAGGCTTTGAGGTGATACATACTAGATAGATGTTTATGGTTCTTTTTAGGGAAGACAAAATTGAGATAGCTGTCTTCACTGTTTATGCTGCGTTTCATTACCGTAGTGCTGTAGCACCTTATACTCCGAATGACTTGTTGCCAGTAAGAGCAGTGGGGAGTCCTGTAAAAACTACACAGATAAGGTGAATGCAATTGCCAGTAATTTCTCTTGTCCTTTCGCTGTCTGAAGTTAACGAAACTTCTAGATTTTCCCCCTTCCTGTGGGAGAATGGTCTTGCAGTTCAGTTACCATTAACAGTGGGAAACTGAGAATATTGAAGGTAGGTGTTTGCCCCCAGAGGATGGTAGAGAGTTTCCTCTTCCACCCTCCTTGACTTTATTTCACAGTGCAAACAGTAGTGACTTGTGCCAAACTTCAACCTAAGGCTAATCATCTTCTGGTATTGGCAGAGATCAGCTGATGCTGAAGACTGACTTATTCATCTTTTGATTTTTAAATTTTATTTTTTTTCCTAGAAGCAACACATTAGATGCTGACAACTAAAAAAGAAACAAACCCACGCATATTGAAAATGTTTTTGGGATTCTGTTTTACAAATGTAAATGTAAATGTAGACGATTCTCTTCCGCCTGCCTCAGCAAAAAAATAATGTGTGCAGACCTAATCTGTTACTGATGGTATCTTTGCCTGTAACACTGACCAGCAGCCTCATTTGCAAAATATCTTGCATGGTAACCTACGTTTTATGTGGTAGTCTTCTGTGAATGAAGTGTCAAACAGAGGGCTTGGACCTTGTCATTTCAGAAGTCCCGAGGTTGTGCTGAACGCAAGTGAAGCTGATGAAGAGACCTGCCTCTTGTTTTGCATCTTGGTTAGGCTTTTTATGTAAATACGCCTCCGTTAACCAACATTGACTCAGTATTTTTGACAGTTTTATTATGGTGGCTGGAAAGAGATCTATTGTGCATTTGGATCATGCACGTATGTTGCTGTAGAGGTTGTTTTGGGGGTCCTGGTACATTGGCTGTTGCATTCTTGTCTTACTGTGGCGGTGTTTTTGCAGATAATCTAAATATCATTACATGCAAGTAGGGAAAAGGAAGTGTATAGCCTTTTATGCCTATATTCTTGTAATATTAGATACTGTTTGGTTATGTTCTATAAATGGTGTTTGTTTCCTTGACCTTATGGGTAAACAGCAGCTTCTAGAAATGTGTGACAGGGCTTGATTTAAGATAAAGTAATTTGAAGAAAGACATCAAACATGTCCAGAGGAGGGTGACCAAGATGGTGAAAGGCCTCGAAGGCAAGAATTACGAGGAGCAGCTGAGGTCACTTGGCTTGTTCAGCTTCGAGAAGAGAAGGCTGAGGGATCACCTCCTCGCAATCTACAACTTCCTCACGGAGGGCAGCCGGAAGGTGGGGTGCTGATCTCCTCTCTCTGGTGACCAGTGATGGGACACGAGGAAATGGAATGAAGCTGCGTCAGGGGAAGTTTAGACTGGACATTAGGAAAAGGCTCTTCATTGGGAGAGTGGTCGGTCACTGGAACAGGCTCCCCAGAGAAGTGGTCAGGCACCAAGCCTGTCAGAGTTCAAGGAGCATCTGGATGATGCTCTTAGTCGTATTGTTTAGTTTTGGGTAGTCCCGTGAGGTGCAGGGAGTCGGACTTGATGATCTGTATGGGTCCCTTCCAACTCGAGATATTCTATAATTTTATGAATATTGTTTATACATCACCTTTCTGATGAGAATTAAGTTGTGGATCTCACTGTCAAAACATATTGTGGAAAATACAATAATAAATGAGTTTGGGTAAATGATGTTACTCTCTGGTTTGACACAGTATGGTAGTCCTTTATTCTTATGCATTAGCTTTTACCAAATTGTGAGTATTTCTGCTGTTTTTATATTACTTTGGAATGTGTATTAAGAATAATTAACCAGAAGAATGCAGAACAGGAAGCAACTGCCTGAACAGTTGCTCTGCAGAAAAGGGTCTAGAGTTTATAGCTGTTAAGTGAGTCAGCACTGTTACACAAGTATTTTCCCACATGAATTTCTCACTTTTTCGTATGAATAGGAATATAGCTTGCAGGATATGGGGTTTATCCTGTTGTTCCACTAAGTATAGATAAGAACTAGTGTGGAATATTTTGGCCAGTTCTGAGCCCCACGCTTACAAAATGATGTAATTGTATTTGAAAATCCAAAGAGTGGGGGGAATGTTTGGATTAGAAAACAACCCTCAAGGAAAGATTAGCCTTACTGCAACCCTTTATTCTAAGGAGAACAACAATCTGTTTGCGTTGTCCACTGTGGGCAGGACAATGGAGAAATAGGATAGTGAAACACCGGTACAGGTTTATTGGAAAAAAGTCACTGAGGACCTCAGAGAACAGACTAGGTAAACATGTCAGGAATAATTCAGGAAAGTAACCCACTTTGGGAAGGAATGGACTGAGTGACTTTCTGGAATACTTGCAAGTCTAGATACTGCCAGTATAAAGGCTGACGTAAAAGTTGTTTCCCCAAGAACTGGAACTAACTCTGTGTGAGTAGACTTCTAACTAACAAAGGGCAACCTCTTCCCCAAACACAGTGTTTTTACCTGTGTTGTCTCTCAGACTCTCTTTTTTTTAAAAATCTGTTTTTTTCCTCTTCCTATACTATAAACCCTTTCAATTAGAGACTCACCTTCAAAACATAATACAATGGGATTTTACTTTTTTTACTGCGTATTATAAAATGTAATTATTAATAACTAATTGCAAGATTAATCTTTTATTTTCCTATATGGAATGAGAATTCCCTAGGATGTTTGGGATGTTTTTAAAGCAGTATGGTCAACTTAATTTAAAAATGTTAAATAGGGTGAACTTCTGAAGGACTTCCTAACTGCCTGGCATGGTTTTAAACATACTTAGCCTGCTGACTAGTCTTGTTGATTAAATTTGTCTGGCTCTCTTATAATAGGGTCATTCCTGATTATAATTTTATGATACCCATTTTTCTTGGATATCATCCTTTTTAAGTTTTGTGAATTTTTTGCTTTCAGTGAGAGCATTTTTCTAGAGAATAGTAAAACTCTGTCAGAACTCAGTCAAAGCATAACCTGGTTATTATTGGCTAGGAAGGCAAGAAGGTATAGAGTGTGCTTCCATGTTCAGTTCTTTTAATAAGGGTATGATTTCCTGCTCAGCTGAAGAATGTGGCTATTCACCATGCCCTGGGCAGCAAACACGTTTCATGTAGCTATATCATATGTTGAATGAGAAAGCAGAGCCACCTGAGAGGTGACTTTTGCCTCTGTGGAAAGGAATGCTAGTTTTGACACACGGAAGGCAGCAAAAATATGTCCAAGAAGAGAGGATACATTTCTGCTCAGTGCCAGCAAAAGTGTAAACAGATTTATCGTACTTGTGGCATTGCATCCTAAGTCTTTCAGCAATGGATGGCTTCAGTGGCGCGTGTGTGTATATATATTTTTTAGTGTATACTTACTAGTATATAATTACATACATACTTTGCAGTGTGTGTCTATATGTGTATATATACTAGTATATATTTATTGTCATGAACGCATGCCTGATTGAAGCCATAGTAGTCTTTAAGTGGAATCAGATTTTGTTATTGCTAGTTTTATAACTAGTGATCTAGATGTGAAACTCTTCTGATTTTTATTGTACGAAAAAGAAGTAACTATTTCCCATCTTCCTGTGGACAAAAAAAGTTGAGAAAACTTAATAAAGTATTTTTAGATTGTGCAAAACAGAATGTGCCGTGCAAGTGGGGTAATACATTAAATGTGAACAAAATAGCTTGTCCTTAAACCATTAAAAAAATTATAGTTCAGTATTCAATTACATAAATGTATAATACTAACTTTTTTGTTTAGTTCAAGGAAGAAATCTCTAAACGTTTCAAGTCCCACACTGATCAGCTTGTGTTGATATTTGCTGGAAAAATTTTAAAAGATCAAGATACTTTGACTCAGCATGGAATTCACGATGGACTCACTGTTCACTTGGTTATCAAAACACAAAACAGGTAACGTTACTGATGAGTGATCTTCTGTTTACCTCTAAGAAGTAAAAATACTCTGAATTCTTAACAGCTTTCTGTTGGGCAAACCTAGATTTGACTAAATCACTTTAATCAGCACCTTAGTCACAGTTGGTGCAGGGAAACAGTCTGAAATTGCAGTGCTCTTTTCTTTGGTTTAGCTTGTATTTTAATTGTATTCATGTTTCTAAATGCAAGTCTCTTGCTTTTTTGTTATTTAACTTTTTGGTTTTAGTTCTGAGTGTTGGCTGTGTTTTGGCTCTGTAGTTCTTAGATATCAGCTTTTACCATCCATAAAGCTATGTTGTGCAGCTTTTCTTTTCACGCGTGAAAACTTGCAGTGAATCCCTACTCACTGTTTTGGTAAAACAAGGAAAGAAAATTTTTATGAGAGAAATTCTTTAGTGCAACTGATTTATCTGGCTGAATAGAAAGACTTGGATTTTAAGATTTTTTTTTGTTTTGGTGAGGCAACTTTAGAGTGATGATGAGAAAGTTGCATCAGTTGAGCTATGTCATCTGCACATTACTTCCTGTAAAGTGCCCAGAGAAGAGTCTCAACTAAAAAGTTCTTTCAGCAAGTAGGGTAATATATTCCTCAATTGAATCTAGCTTGCTTATTATTATCATTAACATACTTGTTTTTCTAGACTGAAAGTGTTCTTGCTCCTGCTTTGCTTGCATCTTTCTTGTTTGTGATAAGGATGTCCTCCTGTGGGAAAATGTCAGATGATGAAGAAAGGAGCATGGAACTTAGGAGAGAAAAGAAATATGCTTTTCCTTTCCAGGCCTCATCAAGTCACAAAAGCCTATTAGTAGCATTAGCATTAAATTTAGGCATCTGTTGAAATTAGTAGCATTGGCATTAAATGTAGGCACCTCTTGAAATTGATGTCTTCAATTCCATGCTCACATCCTGGTGGGACTATCTTCTCTGTCCTCTCTGGAGTCGTGTCTTTGTCAAAACACTTTTGTTTGCACTGGCAGAGGTCTCCCTTCCCTGCCTTATGCCTCCCCAGCCTGAAATTCAGGCCTGATAGCCATCCCAATCTTGTATACAGTATTAGCTTATACTGCAATTTTGTGCTTCGTGCATCTAAACCAGTATTCTCTGTTGTAATGACTTCTGCTTTTTTTGCCTGCAGTCTTTAGTGTGGCAGAGAGGCTTCGTGACTAGTCATAGCAGGATGCTTTTGACTTGCACAGTCTTCAGAAATTTCATAGGTTGTACCTACAATAACTATACGTACTGAAATATCAGTGCCCGTCTCTTGTACTTTCTTACACGGTCAAATCCTCAAATCTTTGTGTGAGGACTGAATTCATAGTTTCTACAAGTTATTTTATGCTGCAGTTCTGCAAATACAGGCATTTATGTGATTGATTGTTGAACCAGACTGGAGAACTGATTAGGGTTTCAAACTAGCCTCTTTTCTTTTGAATAGAGGCCAGGTTAGCTTTACACAAGCTCGGTTCCTTGATCTCTTTTACTGCCTTGCAGCACCTGTATTTATGCCTCTGCAGTAGGAAGGTGTGGTGAGTATATATGACTTGGGCAGCCTTTAGTGCCTGTGCTAAATTATGCTGGCTTTAACTTTGTGTAACTACATTTTTACCCTTTTCTTGAAGTCTTAAAGGTTATTGAGATCCTGATACTTGTCTTCTAATGAAATAAGCCGTTAACTGAATTTCACGTTCAGGAAGGCATCCTATTAAAGTTGTGGCATGAAATAAATCTGACATTAAATCTTGCTAGGCTTTATTTCTTTAAGCCCTGGGCATGTAATCAGTAGTATTTGAGTATAGTGGAATAGGGCAAGGATACTTAAAGCAAGGTAAGGACAGAGGAAACAAACCATTGGCAGGCATCCCGGGGATAGAGTGAGAAGGTGGTAATGGCTGCAGTGGTGCCCATCTATTAATGTTTCAAACTACTGTTCTGAAAAACTGATGACATTACAGATGTCTGAGAAAGATTTGTTACAGGAAACCATGTAGAGATAATAGTCTGATTTTTGACAAGGAATCAAAATGTAAATTAAGATTCTCAAGTATGATACTATTCCTGTATTTAAGGCATTATTTAAATTAACTTGTTAATCTTGCAACTTTTAAACTTGCTTTTTTAGATCACAAGACCACTCAGCTCAACAAGCAAACACCACTGGGAGTACTGCTACCACATCAACATCAAGCAGTAGTACCTCAACACCAGCTTCAACAAATAGTAACCCTTTTGGCTTGGGTAAGAATATTTGTTAGGTAGCGTGGTGGGTATCTTCTCTTGGATTCAGGTAATTCTCCCTGAAGCTTTATTCTAATGTAGACAGAACTTTAAAAAAAACCCTAACAAACACACCACCCAAAAAACTCATTATAAATATCTATGGTATTGCGTGTAGAAGGTTTTTGATCAGTAAATTATCAGAGGAAAGTTGTTTCCTTAATTTTATATGCAGAACTTCAGACTTGTTTCACCTTCAGTAGTAAGGTGCCACTGATGTTATATTCTGGCACTATGGCTAATGAAATTCCTTCAAGTGTCCTAATGCTCCTTAAAAGTGCATCTGAATTGCTGTGAGGAGAGTATTGATGAAGTTGGACCTGTAACATGAAGCCAAGATCTGGAACAGAAGTAACAAAATTGCTGCTAAACTTCCAATTCAGTATTTCTCATGTTCCAACTCTGATAGCATTATCAGTCTTCTTCATGAATAAAGAGGCTGCAGTCTATTGACTTAAAAATACTATCTATTTCCATAATCACAGTGGGGTTTTTGGTGCATTCTTTTTCATCTCATCTGCTTTCGGGGGTTGGGAAGAGGTAGAATTGGAAAAGCTAACCATAGTAAGCAGTTGCTTTCTGAGGTGTACACAGTTCTTCAGACTGACTAGTACCTTCTGAAATTTTTTGTTTGGACTCAGCAAAGGAGGGGAATTCAAAGCATAATTAGTTCTTGGTGCATTAATAAGAAGAAGAGCTCTACTTTTAATTAGAATAGGGAATATGAGTCATATTGGGAGGTCTCTCTTGGTTATAGTCTAGCCAAGAGGAGACAGAGAAATGATTATCATAAATGCATTGGAAAGTGTTGGGGGCGCAGGAAGGGGGAACCTAAGGCCCCAAAACTCAGACATTCCTTGTATCTTAGCGGTGGAAAATGAGAAGAAAAGCTGTTAGAATTGTAACCAGTTATATTTCAGATGCAGTTGTTTGGATTTATAGTTTTGTGTCTTGTTACTTAAAGAAGCAAACTCTTAGTGGTAACTCCTTAACAGCCTTGCGAAGGTGGACTTTCTGTTTGTTTTCATTATTTTGAAGTGTGGGATATGTTCAAGCATTTTGTATTTAGAAAGAACCTGGATGTGTTTAGAAGTATACTAGAAGCTGAAAGTTCAATTATATTTTTTTCATCCTCTTAAAGGTGGCCTTGGAGGTTTGGCAGGTCTGAGTAGCCTGGGCTTAAATACATCAAACTTTTCAGAGTTGCAAAGTCAGATGCAACGGCAACTTATGTCCAACCCAGAAATGATGGTTCAGATAATGGAAAATCCATTTGTTCAGAGCATGCTTTCAAATCCTGACCTGATGAGGCAGTTAATTATGGCTAACCCTCAAATGCAACAACTGATACAGAGAAATCCAGAAATCAGTCACATGCTGAATAATCCGGATATAATGAGACAGGTATGTAGAAGGATCTCTAAGTTCATGAGCTTTAATTATACTGTAACTGTGAATAACAGAGCAGGAATTGGACATGCTTAGTTGAGTGCTTAAATGTTCTTGAAATATTTAGGCTTGTTAGAAAAATCCATAAAAGGTTGCAGTAGGCAACTGATGTTTGTATTTCTAGTTGTTAATGTCTGAAATAGACTGATAATTCAGAAAATCTGCAGCATAATTTTGAAAGACATTGAAGACTGTGTAATCGTATCTTCTGAGATTAGAGTTGGATGTCCCTGTGTGCACTTGAAACCTTCTGTTGTCTAGCCAACAATGAGTTTACCAAAAGTAGTAATTCTCCAAAATACTACACGTTTTCATTTTATCTAACTGTGGGTACTTCTAAGTGCTTTTAAAATTAAGTGGTATGTAAGATATGCTGTGTAGCAGAAGGTATCAAAAAACAAATTCATACTTTTGAAAATGTAGGTATTTATTTTAAAGTTCTTATTATAGGCTGCCTGCTATAACGATGTTAGAAATGACAGGAGTATATTGTGTTGAAAAGATGAAGAAAACAATAGTTCATTCAAGGTTTTTCTTCTGTTTAGCCAGTGCTTCCTGACCCACTATCAGTATAGTGATAGTTGTGGTAGAATGCTGGCTAAATACCTAATTCGGTTGACTCCCACTAAGCTGACATCTTGATTTGCCTTGAATCATAATTTCAGACTGGGTTAGACAGTGGTAACTGAGATATTGCCAAATGCTGACGTTTTCACTTTAGAATGGATTTCTTATTAATACAGATTAAACGTTCCACTTCCCTAGACACTAGAACTTGCTAGAAACCCTGCAATGATGCAGGAAATGATGCGAAACCAAGACCGAGCCTTGAGCAACCTGGAAAGTATACCAGGTGGATACAATGCCTTGCGACGTATGTACACAGATATTCAGGAGCCAATGTTGAATGCTGCACAGGAACAGGTGAGAAAAGATTGCAAATGCCACCGAAAGTAAATATTTTTTAAAAATAAAAGCATGTAAGTAATGTAAATCTCCAAGTGTGTACTTGGAAATTTCTTGAAGTTGAAGTCACTATGTGGCCTCTTACTCTTGAGAGGAAAGATCTTTAAAAATTCTGTGCTTTTCTAAGCTTGAAGAAATACAGATAGCGCTTTGTGTGTTTGAGAAGCTATTTTAAAGTTAATGAATTTCTGTATTACTTAAATTTGAATTCCTTTAATTCTTTCCCTTAAAATTCTGAGGTCCAGGAAAACTTTTTTAAGGGTGTGTTTAGTAACTTGGAACCTAAGATGGGAAGAAAAAAAGGCTTTGAAGGTGGAAACCAGTATGCAAGATACAATCTTACTGTGATCAAAATACCAGTGTAGTAGCAACACTGCTTTCAAAAAGCAATGTGATTTAATTTTTTTGGAGGTGCTAGTATCTCTCAATGTTGGCATCTTTTCAGAGTATTTACAGTGAATAGTAATTCATTGTAAGGATGGTGAGTATAACTGATGAAGAGCCATCAACATTTATCTTCATGTGTAATTTTGGAAAGGTAACTTGCTATTTATAGCAGATTTAAAAACACTTGGCTTTAGTAGATGATACGCTTGCTTTCCTTCCTCTGTAGTTTGGAGGTAACCCGTTTGCTTCTTTAGTAAGCAATGCATCAACAGGAGGGGACAGTCAGCCATCTCGTACAGAAAATAGAGATCCTCTACCAAATCCCTGGGCTCCTCAGTCCAGCACGCAGACTTCCACAACAAGTACCAACACCAGTGGTGAGAGCGGTGGCAGTAGTAGTGCTGGAAATAGCACCTCTGGCAGTACGGGACAGAGTTCAACTGTACCAAATTTGGGACCTGGACTAGGAGGTGTGTTTGTTATTGCAATTGCATATATCTGCACATACTTGAGAGTTTGCTAAAATGATTTTTTCTTTAGAGAGTTTTTGATTCAAAGTTTTTATTGCTGTTTGCTTTCGTAGAACATTTGACTACTGTCAAAGTACTCTCCGGAAAAACAAACATGAAAAGTAAACTAAGAGTGGTAATAGTACTGGTGTATTGCCTTAAAATAACAAAGGTAGGGAATATCTAGATGAATGATAGTACTTTTCCTGTTTGGAGGCAAATGTGAAAACAGCTAATAATGTAGATACTTAGTGGGACTGCTTGTTGGATACAGCCTCTGTCTTAATTTCTAGGGTAGATGTGTAAGCAGAACCACATGGAGGTGTATTTCAGGGACTAAAACTCTTAGAAGCCAAGTGGTTATATCCTGGTTTTAGGTAGTCTAATTTGTCTGGTGATAGTCAGGATGTTTACTAAAGTGGTGTTTTACTTTTTTTAAGCTGGTATGTTCAACACACCAGGAATGCAGAGCTTATTACAGCAGATAACAGAAAACCCACAACTTATGCAGAATATGTTGTCTGCACCCTACATGAGAAGCATGATGCAGTCATTAAGCCAGAATCCTGATCTTGCAGTACAGGTAAATGCATTTGGTGTGGTGATGTATTGTGTGCATTGATGTTAAAAAGAAAAAAAAAAAGAAAAAAAAAAAAAGCATTGATGTTAAAAAGAAAAAAAAAAAGAAGAAAAAAAAAGAAAAAAAAAAAGAAAAAAAAAAAGAAAAAAAAAAAGAGTTGAATCTATGACACAGTTAAATTTTCACTTGTGCCAACATCTCAGCAATTGTCTGTAGTGAATGGCCCGGTTTTTAATGTTAATGCCAAACTCACTGACATTATTACCTACCTACATTTAACAATTTGTTGCAGTGAGCTTCTTCAATTTGTAGTTGGACATCATGCTACGCATGCTTCTAAAATAACTTTTGTTTATGTTTTATACAGCATTGAACTTGTGACCCAGCGTAAGAACCAGTTAGACAAAACAAATGCGTTGGGTGTAAATTAAGGTAGATCTGCCAGTAAATAAATACCCCCACTAGCTTGGGAGGAGAGAGTGAAGGGAGGGGAGTTGGTGCCATATCTAGGCGTTATTCTGGTTTTAACTTTTTTTTGTGACCTGTGCTCACTGTAAAAGTGCAGATGCTGTTTTATGAATGGTGTTGTAGAAGTGCTTTGAAATTTTACTTAAAGCAGTAATATCCAAAGTCAAATCCTGAACTGAGATTAAAAAAAAAAGTTATATTTTCTGTATTAAATACTCCCTTGGAAAATATCCCTGACTTCAGGTGATGTTTACAGGGAAACCATCACTTAGATCAGTAGTGGAGGCTGAGCAGAAAAGGATTTTCTTGTAATTTAAATGAGGTTGTCTTGGCAAGTTCTGGCAATTCATTCACTTAAAAGATAAAAAATCCAACCAAACAATACCAAAACAAGAAGAAGAAGAAGAAGAACAAAAAAACCAAAAAAAACCTCCCAACACCTCCTTCCCCCTCCACCC